AAACACTGATGACAACTTATGCTGAAGAGGTTGTGGGGAAAAGGGAACACTTCTGCATTGCTGGTGGGAGTGCAAGCTGGTTTACAGCCCCTTTGGATATCAGTGTGGCAGTTTCTCAGAAAATTAGGAAACAAACTTCCTTAAGACCCAGTCATACCATTTTTGAGTATATACCCAAAAGATGCTCAATCATACCACAATGACATGTGCTCAACTATGTTCATAGCAGCATTGTTTGTCATAGACAAAACCTGGAAACAACCTAAATGCCCCTTGACTGAAGAATGGATAAGGAAAATGTGGCACATTTACACAATGGAGTACTACGCAGCAGAAAAAAATAACGACATCTTGAAATTTGCAGGAAAATGAATGGAGCTAGAAAACATCATTTTGAGTGAGGTAACCCGGACACAGAAAGACAATTATCACATGTACTCACTCATAAGTGGTTTTTAAACATAAAGCAAAGAAAACCAGTCTACAAATCACAATCCCAGAGAATTTAGACAAGAGTGAGGACACTAAGAGAGACTTACATAGATCTAATCTACATGGGAAGTAGAAAGTAGAAAAAGACAAGATCTCCTGAGTAAACTGGGAGCATGAGGACCTTGGGAGAGGGTTGGAGGGGAGGGGAGAGGCAGGAAGAGGGGCAGAGAAAAATATATAGTTCAATTAAAATCTATAAAAAAATAATATAAGCTTTTCAAAAAAGAATGACCTCCCCTCCCCACCCCAGGTTCATATATTGAATGTTAGGTCCTGAGTTAGTGGAACTGTTTGGGAAGAGTTAGGAGGTGTGGCCTTGTTGGAGGTGCTGTGTCACTGAGCGGCCTTTGAGCTTTGGAAAGCCCATGCCAGGCCCAGTCACACACTTTCCCTGCTCCCTGTGGATCGGGATGTAAAGCTCTTCACCGTGGAGCCAGCATTCTGTCTGCTTTCCACCATGAAGATCCACGACTCATCCTCTCAAACCATAGGCAAGCCCCCAATCAAATGTTCCTTTTAAAAGGTCTGCGTTGGTCATGCCGTCTCTTCCCAGCAACAGAACAGCAAGGAAAATTGGTACTAGGAGTCAGGTGTTGCTGGGACAGGCAGGGCCATGCCGTAAGACTGGAACTTTGGACTAGAGAAGCAGTTGAATGTTTGAAGCGGAACTACTGGGCCATCTAGTGGGAGCATGGAAGACAGTGGCGCTCAGAGCAACGTAGACTACAGAGGACGCCCAGCTGAAGAAGAATTAGAGACCATTCTTCTGATACTATGGCAAAACATGTGGCTGCTTTCTGTCTTAATGTGGTAAGTCTGTCAGTGGTTAAACGGAGGAGTTTTGGACTAACGTTGCTAGCAGAGGAAATGTCAAGATGGCCTACTTCTGACTGTGTCACATGTCACTTCCGTACATCTACAACGCAAAGGCACAGATGGGGAGAAGAGACATTCACAAGGTACAGCCTGAGCAGAAGGGGAACATTAGGAAGCCTCACGTGGGAGCCAAGCCTTGTGTTCAATGGAATAAAAGAGATAGTAACTTCAGGGCAAGACGGCACCCAGTTAGTCCTGCACCGGTGAAAGGAAAGGTCTGAGAGATTTCCTCAGTCTAAACAATAGCAGAAAGTGTATGCAAACATAGTTCAAAGAGGAGGCCGGGTTCCAGTCCCAGTAAGCAGCGGAACTTGGCAGCTTCACCCATGTGGTTCTGGGTTTAGCGTCAAGGATACAGGAAAGGGGTTAGGGAATTGTACTCCATGACAAAGGAAAGCCACAGAGGCCAGGTGTGTGACAGGGGAGTCTCTGCCTGGAGGCCTGAAGAGGCCACGGCGTGAAGCTGTGAAGGTGAAGCCCTGATTGTGGTGGAGACCCCAAGATGTTGGAGATGCCAGAGCCATGGGATACCTGCCAGGGACAGCAGCAGACAGAGTGGAACCAGCTCAAGGAGAAGTGTGTTACAGTCAACAGGACTGCAAGAGCCATTTAACAAACCCTTTAAAAGCAGACACGGAGTTGAAGGATTTGTAGTTGGCCCTGTTGGGTGTTAGTCTAACTTTGGTCCAGTATTTCCTCACTGGGTTCTCTCCTCCTTTTCCAGAGGATTGGTAACATATATGTATATCTATTCGGAAGTCGGTGATCTGCTTTCTTATTGAGATTTTAGAGGGGCTTACATTTAAGCGACTGAATCTCAGAAGAGACTTTGGACTTTTAAGCAGTCTTCGGACTGAAAGACTATGAGGACTTTTGGAGTTGGACTGAATTCATTGGGCATTGTGATAGGGCATTGTGACAAGCCTATAGGGGCCAGGGAGTAGAATGTGGTGTTTTGAATGAGAATGGTCCACATAGGCTCTTAGGTTTGACTTTTTGGTCCCCAGTTACTGAAATTGCTTGGAAACGATTAGGAGATATCGGCTTATTGGAGGAGATATATCACTGGGGATTGGCTTGAGGGTTCAAAAGACCACGTTAGGCCCAGTTTCTTTCTTTCTTTCTTTCTTTCTTTCTTTCTTTCTTTCTTTCTTTTCTCTCTCTCTCTCTCTCTCTCTCTCTCTCTCCCCCCCCCTGTTGCTTACAGCCTGCAGATCAGGATGTGGAGTTCACAGTTACTCCTGCACCATGCCTGTCGGCTGTCCGTCATGATGATCTTGGAATAACTCTCTAGACATGTAGGCGGGGCCACACTTGAATGCTCTCTTTCATAGGAGTCGTGGTCCTTCACAGCAATCCAGCAGTGACTAAGATAAGGGAGAGCCCAGTTCAAAGGATTAAATATTCTCCAAATGGGGGTAGGTACAATCTCAGTGTTGTGCACTGGATACAGGATACAGGGACACAGGCTAAAAAATCATTGTCATGTTTTTAATCTAAAAAAAATTAAGTCACTAAATTTTTGTTGTTGTTTTGAGACAGAGTCCACGTTGCCCTGACTGTCGTGAAACTGGCAACATGGACCCAGCTGGCCTTGAACTTACAGTCTTCGACCTGCATGTGTCCCCACACCTGTAGGGTCACTAAGAGTTTATGCATAGCTGGACATTTATGCCCTTAAGCGTTCCTTGGTATCACAGCTGGCTGAGCAGTGCAAGGGTGAACTCTGGGAGGAGAGAGAAAGTTCTGCAGTGTAAAGCGGCTTGCAGGGGAAGCAGGGGACTCCAGTAGCTGGTCCACGCGCTTATTCACTTTCAGAAAGTAAGCATGCAATGAAGGCGACACTGTAGTGTATGTGGGATGATGAAGGCATTCACGGACCACATTACTAAATACGCTATACTTTGTTTGAATTAACTATTGTAGATGGAGGCACCTTCAAAATACTCCATCCACTAAGTGCAAGTTAAAAACAATAATAATGCCCACACAAAGCACAGAATATTCACATCTACTCCCCTGTCAGCTGGACTATCTCATCTCTCACCACTGGAGAGAATTAAGATCTGAAAACTGAACTGGTATTACTACTGTCGTAACGTTTTGCATACACGCAGGCATCCCTACGCCGGGGTGCAGACCAGAAGCTAACGACCGGTATCTTCTTCAACTGTTCTTTTTTTAATTTTATCACGCATTTATTTTCAAAAAGTATCTTGCCGGGCATGCCAGGTCACACCTTTAACCACTTCATAAGGCAGAAGGTGGCAAATCTCGGTGATTTCTAGGCCAGGCTGGTCTACAGAGTGTGTGCCAGGACAGTCAGGGCTACACAGTAAGACCTCTCTCTCTCTCTCTGTTGCGTGTGTGTTTGCATGTAAGGATCTCATCACCGTGTATATATGTGGACACCTTGAGGGACTTGCTTTTCTCCTTGTACCATGTGGGTTCTGGGAGACTGATTTCAGGTTGTCAGGGCTAGTCCCTCCCTCTACCCACTGAGCCATTCCACTGGCTCTCTATTTTGTGAGACCCGGGCCTCTCACTGAACTTGGATCTCACTGATTCGGTAGGCTGGCTGGCCAACAGGCTCCATGGACCCCATCTCTGTCTCCTACCCGCCAGCACTGGGGTTACAGACATTCAATGCCTAACATCTTAGGTGCTCTGTGTGTGTGTGTGTGTGTGTGTGTGTGTGTGTTTTAAAAATATTTATTTATTTATTATGTACACAATGTTCAGCCTCCATGTATGTCTGCAGGCCAGAAGAGGGCACCAGATCTCATTACAGATGGTTGTGAACCACCATGTAGTTGCTGGGAATTGAACTCAGGACCTCCGGAAGAGCAGTTGGTGCTTTTAACCTCTGAGCCATCTCTCCAGTCCCAAAACCAGACCTTTTTGGTCTGTGTAATAATACACACAATACTTGTATAGTCAGATAAGGAATGTCTACTTGCATATTTGATGATGTTGGTTAATAATACAAGAAGTATGCCTGTCCCTACCCCTGTCCCCAAGAAATATCCCATCTCATTTGACTATTTCCATCCAATTCTATAACAGTGTTTGAGTTTATGGTAAATTCTCAAATTATCTAGTGCCATTTGGCAACTTGGAATTCTAAGTCTCTGGTGGCTTCTAGATGTTCACGGAAGTTAATTTTATTGTCTAAACTTAAGAACTACTTCTAGGTAACTTGTTAACTAGAGCCCTGGGCTTCTACTCTCAGAAGCCAACTGTGTACCTGTAGAGTGACCTATAAATTGTGTAATGTCTAAATTCTTTTTATTCTTCTTAGGCTGAGAAACTGAGCACCGAGGATTATATCCGGTTAGCAATGACAAGGGGGAACATATTGTCTCTGGGAGAAACATGTACAATTCCTGAAAGGTCACACAGACTGTGATCTATGAAGTGGTCATAGAAACATATGTGAAAAACTATAAGATATAAAGTTGCAAAACATCAGCTTTTCCTGCTCCTGGGCCTTGGCTGGGCCGAGCTATATCCTGTGCCTAACAGGTACTCTGTTTATGAAGGTCCCAGACCTGCAAAGAAGCCGTGTTTAAAGCTTCCTGAATGAACAGCATTACAGACCACGCAAACCAGTAAGAAATCTTTGTACCAAATGTGCTTATTCACCAAATTTATTTTGGGACGTTCCGAACACCAGAATATGACAAATTAAAAACAAAGCACCCCAAATTGCTACATGTTAATACCTGAGCAGAGACGGAGGGCAAATGCTCACCTAATAAAAACTACATCGTAACGTGGGAACAGAGGTTAAAAAACATTTACAACACTCTACAAAGCACAGAAGCAACACTTTTCCCCCAAACCGCAACTGGTCCAACGAAACAGCGTTCATTATACCATAGCAGAAACACACAGAAAAGAACACGCACTTTTGTTCAGTGCACTACACGTCTCACGACGCACTGGGGAGGAGCATGCATGTTCAGACAGGAAGATATGCACGACGGTCATCATTTTCAGTACACACTTTCGGACAGGCTCCTTGCACTAAGCGTGGTTCCTACACACTAGAGTTTACGGATGAGCACAAAATCGGCGCGCAAATAAACGCGGACTCTACCGAGTCTCCGTCAGCGGCCACTAGTCGTCTGCGTGCTAAAGGTTTAACTGTGAGGGTAGAAACTGATGTCAGCTGAGAGACCCTTGATTACACACACCCTTGTCTAAACAGCCTCGTTGTTAATCTTACCAGGCTTTAAGGAAAGACATACTGTCATGTCTACAAGTTTTCAAGAGACTCTTATTTCAATAAAAACTTGAACATAGTAGTAACGGGGCACAGAAGGTGAAATAGGACAAGGGAAATACACTGAGTTTATGTCCAAAAGTCACACGGAAAAGCAAACAGTACACGGGGATCCGGACGCCGTTGGGAAAGAGCGTGATTATACGATAAATCGAGTAATTTGGACTTTCATGAAAATCATACTCATTATTTTAAATAAGCACAAAACTTTACAATAAATTAAAAAAGAGGAGCTAATTCTCCTGTGACACCATAAAATAATTAGGCAGGAAAAAGAAAGTGGTAACATTTTAAACAAATGACACTGATCTGAGGTCAGCCACTGCAAAATCATCACTGGGTTGAAACCCCTCTTTGAGAATATAAACACAGGTCTCAGTCTGCCACAACACGGGGCACAAGTCTTAGAAGGAACGCACATAATTGATAAGCTCATTACCAGTAAGACAAAAATACATTTCAAGGATTAATTTTTATCTATTCAATAAGTTTAGAAACAGGAGGGCCGTGACTATCCCTTAAAACATTTCCCCCAGAAACTGCAGCCAAACCTAATTTCCCAGATATATTAAGACTAAATCAATTTTTTTTTAAAAAAAAATCGAACAACAAAAAGCAGCTCTGGAAATTAAAGGAGGTCTCAAGAAAAACGGCTGTGCGGACCCTAAAGGAGGTGTGGGCCAATTTATACTTAAGACTTATAATTTCAGCCACTTGAAAGAAAAGGATTTGAGAGGAATTTGAGAAGGCCGCCCACAGTGAGATATCGAGATACAAAATCGCAGGGCGTTGCTTCATCATCTTTAAGGCACAGTCTGTTTTATCCCAAATAAGTTCAAGGTCACAGTGATGATATGTATTCAGTTTTGGTCTGGTTTATCTTGGGCACGTTGCTACATTTATAGTTAGTTCTAGGTTGAAGAAACCACAGTATCGCTTCACAATGATACCCCTCAGTTCCCATTTTTAAAAAATATAAGTATGCAACACAACTTCCTAGTTTATACACAATAAAAATGAAGATCTCTCTCCCAAGCACACAATGGGGAGGGGGAGATTTGCATGAGAATTCTGGCAAACACCTGTTTCTCCATGCACAGAGCCTGCTTAAGTTAAGGACGGACAGGCATCTCCTACTTAGGTTAAGGCCATGTCACACAGAGGACAACCCCCTTCCAGAGAGCACACACCCCCTGTGGCCAGCTCTCATCATAAACCACCTTTCTATCCACAGCCCCCAACAGTTGGATAACCGTTACTCGACCAAGACCAAGTAATGTCAGTATCTGGCTTTCCACAGTATTTGGTATAAGGTGCCTGCTCAAAGGTTTGCTTCAATGGACTGTGTTTGGGTAGATCTAGCAGACAAACACTTGGGACTGAACAGAAACATACAGAAAACAAAGGAGAGCCCGCAGGGCAAGCTCTCAAGTATATAAAGGGGAGAGGCCTAGACCCAAAAAAATGGACTGTACAAAATTCACTTTTCGCAGCACAAAGTAAGACCACAGCCAGATGACTTCGGATGACTTCTTCAATTAACTGCTGAAAGACAGCGAATTCAGTTTCTACCCAACAATATCAGGAAAGCAGAGAGAAGAGAGCACACCGTTCTAAAGCTTTGAACAGCTTCAAAGAAAAATAGAGCGTGGCGTATGTTTTCACGATGGACACATTTATTGTAAGTCTAGAAGAAAAATATTGAAAAAGATTACTTTTGTTTTAACCCCAGTATCCTAAGAAAAGTTCCTTGGCATGAATATCCAGAGGTACTTTACAGTTTCATTTAGCTTTGGTGGCAAAGTACGTTCTGCTAACCAAGGGAGTACTTACGAGTTCCAATGCAGAGTATGCTAAAAAGAATTCAAATGTATCTTTTTTTATTTTCCTAATAAAAGGGTGTAAACAGGCCAAAATGAAACAGAACAAACCACATGAAATACAAACACACGGGCCACTAGGCTCTGGAGTAGTCAGTAGGGCTACACAGATCTACAAACTTTTGCCATAGTAACATCGCTACCTTACGAACACTAAAAATCAGAACATTTGAAAGAGCACATGGAGTTCACAAAACGGCTCCCTGTAGGTTTCTGAGACAAAGGTTAGAGTATAGATAACGTTACACTAACGGATCACACAGCAACAGGTAAAAAGAGTTTCTCACTGGCATTCAAACTGACCACGTACAGGAGGGTTCCAGGTTGTTTCTGACACAACATACCACGTTCACACAAAGTCGTCAGAAATTGACTGGTTTCCTGGGGCTTCAGGTGGGTTTGGGCAGCACGCCATGCCAAGCACGTAAGGAAAACGGCTCTTGGTTTATAATTACTGGTCACAGACGGTTTGACCAAGCTGTGGCTCAGACCCTGGCAGCTGTGAAGCGCACCATGGCCCGGCCGCGGTTACGTCCCTCGTGCTCACAGAGTAACAGCAGGCCCGTCTCAACCATCTCCAGAGTCTTTTCCATCCTCAAATGAGGTGACAACCAAGTACAATTCTGCTTTTATTTATTTATGATGTGTTGTAAAAAATGAAGACGTTTATGCATTGATGGTGCATCTTTGAACTGCTCTGACTCCCATTTCCCACAGTCCCTATGTAAAGTCAGGAACATGAGGTCCCCGGGGCTTCCTTATTTCCCCATGCCTCGGCAAGCCTCATGCTGAAAGAGTGGAGAATCGCGGAATTATAAATGTTTCTTGTGCAAAAGGATTGGCGATGATAAAATTCCAGCTCTCAATCTTACGGCTAGAGTGAGTCCTATGTTTTCTTCATCTGCTTTCCTGGGAGGAGCTAATGTCGCCAACACAGAAGTTTCCCTTGCCCCCTTTATTACTGCCAAGTGTCATTCTCCCCAAATGGATTGTGTGTGACCCTCGATAAACTTCAAAAGCTCTGTTCTACGATATCCAAATTCACAAACTGTCCACACAGATGAAAACCAACTAGCTACCCAAAGCCTCAGCCTACTGTTGGAATTTTCCCAAATGATTTTTTTTAAGACCACTTCCTAAATGTCGAAGGGCAACATCCTAAAATCCTGCATCAACCTAAAACACACAAGGCCGTGCATTAATTCAGACCTGACGTCTGAGGAGAGAAATACAGGCCACCTGATTATCCCATGATTCCAGAACCAGCAGCCCTAGCCTACCTCACGGTACTCGTGGGTCCCCGCCTCCTAAGTGTTTAGTGTTTTCGTGTGTGTACATGTTTGTGTATGTGCAGGGAGAGGTGCGGGGGGGGGGCACAGGGGACAACACAGGACAATGCTGGGAGTCTTCCTCAGAGACTTTCCACCTTAATTTTTGAGGCAGGGTCTTTTTACTGAGCTCAAAGCAGGCCAGTTTAGGTAGGCTGGCTGGCCGGCAAGCAGCAAGGATCTACCTGTCTCTGCCACTCAGACCTGGGATTAGAGGCACACATTGGTCAGCCAGTTCCTCCTGCGGATTCTGGGAATTTGCTCTTGGGTCCTTACAGTCAAACAGCAGGGACTTCACTGTCTGAGCCATCTCTCCAGGCCTGTGTCCCACCTTCCTCCTGCAGCCTGCAAGAGCTCCTGAAAACTGAGTTCTACGTCCCTTGATTTCCCTTCGCCATCTTCCACCAGAGGTATTAAGAAGCTTTGTGAAATGGACACATCATGCTGTAAGGGAGAACTCCAAAGAGTTTTCTTTAAAGTACAGAGACTTCACAGTAGATAAGACAGTCTGCCTTGCACAAACTTGTGAGCACTGTGAAAATGTGTCATGCCGACACACACGACAATGTAATAGCAACTGTACAGCAGGCTGATTTCCTGGAGTTATTTCTTTTTCCTTACTGTATAATATTTTATAGTTCACTAGATAAAAGTTATTCATTTGCTGGGCAGTGGTGGCACATGCCTTTAATCCCAGTCCTTGGGAGGCAGAGGCAGATGGGTCTCTATGATTTCAAGGCTAGCCTTGGCTACAGCGCTAGTTCTAGGACAACCAAGGCTACCAAAGAAACCTTGCCTCGAGAAGACAACAACAACTAAACTATCCTCTATAGACAGCTAAAATTATGTAAATATAACACAAAAAGAATTAAAAAGACTAATCAATACATAATTGATATATATTAGGCAGCCTCAAAGATTAGTGTTAACCAAGCACAAACGGTTTCTTTAGAATCACAGTTCTGAAAGTTTTTAATACATGATAACCAAGAAAGGAATAGAATGTATTTAATTTTGGCATTAAATGAATCCAGACTAGCTGTGGATACTTCAAAGATAGAGAAAGTACTTAGGAAACACAGGCCCTGGACTCAGTCCCTGCTGTGCTCATGTACACACAAACACACACACACACAGACACACACACAGACACACACACACACAGACACACACACACACACACACCAGCAATAATAATTTCTATCAGATTTACTAGGTCCTGGAGCCGGATGAATGGCTGAGTGAAGAGAGCTGCTGTTCTGGAGAATTTGAGTTTGGTTCCTAGCATCTCTGTCCAGCAACTCACAACCACCTCTAGCGCCAGCTCTAGGGGATACACTGCCCTCTTCTGGCCACAGTGAGCAACACACACACACACACACAAATCTTTTTAAAAATTACCAGGTCTAAATTATAATAGCACTAACTCTATGAGGGTGTTTCAGAAATACTGAGCACTCAATGTTCTTAACAGTCTAATGTATACCCAATCTATTTACTAGCAAAAAATCCGGTTGTTTAATAAACACAACACTTACTAAAAAACTCAATTTCCTAAAAAAAGAAACCACAACAGTGGAACTCAAAATTTGATGTATTACTCTCTAACTTGACTGCCAATTCAAGTGAAACTGGTATTGGGACTATGGTAATAAAACACATGAGAACAGGACAGGTAAAAGCAAGAGATGCTGAGATAAAGGACATCCCTTTTCTTAAGGGATAGCCGTTTTCACGATCAGATAGTCTACCTAGCTACCTGTGTCTAAATACTTGAAGATTCTGTCAGAGCATATCCTTGTATGTTCCTGTGTGAGTGTGTATCTGGAAGAAGACCCTGTCAAAACATGTTCTTGTATGTTCATGTGTGAGTATGTATCTGGAAGAAGACTCTGTCAGAGCATGTCCTTGTATGTTCATGTGTGAGTGTGTATCTGGAAGAAGACTCTGTCAGAGCATGTCCTTGTATGTTCATGTGTGAGTGTGTATCTGGAAGAAGACTCTGTCAGAGCATGTCCTTGTTTGTTCATATGTGAGTGTGTATCTGGAAGAAGACCCTGTCAAAGCATGTTCTTGTATGTTCATGTGTGAGTGTGCATCTGGAAGAAGACTCTGTCAGAGCATGTCCTTGTATGTTCATGTGTGAGTGTGTATCTGGAAGAAGACTCTGTCAGAGCATGTCTTTGTATGTTCATGTGTGATCGTGTAGAGTGACAATGGGCCAAAGACCCAGACCACGATTCTCTGAGATATTTTGCTGGCATAAATAAGACTTGGGGGCTTGGGAATAAATACTTTCAGACAAAAAACATTCTAGCAAGAATTAGTGTGCTCTGATAACAAACGTGCCACTCGTGAGTAAGAACTCAAACTTGCTACATCCTACTTAGTAGTGCCAGCTAACCATGGAGATCCTAGAACTCATAAATAACCACGGCTGTAAAAAGGTCTCTAACACCAGATTTCTGTAAAGATTTTGTAGATGCATGCCCAAATTCAGGAAGCCAAAGTACTCAGCCACCAGTAAGTTGAGACGTCTGTAATATCACAGACAGTGGGAAAGAGCAGATATATGGAGACTGCCCAGGCCCGGCAAAACGGAAGCAGGTATGTCCATGTATGTATGTATGTATGTATGTGGTATTCTGTGAGAAAACTGTACGTCCTGATGAGCTCATGCTCAGATACTGAATGAACAGTACGGCGTAGTTTATTCTGTTTGACACATTTCTGAGACAAGAGACTAAGATGTCCGTCACATCTACTATAACTACTTTCCTTTCGGAGTCTTAGTGAGCGAGAATATGAATACCCAAGAAGCACGATGCCAGGCACGACAGCAATGGAGTCACATAAACTAACGAACCCCTGTGGTAACACCATCACCCTCTGACTAATGCTGAAACAGGAAAGACCCAAGGAAGAACTCCCTGGGGAGAAGGCCAGTTGCCGAAGTGACTGGTGTGGGAGGAGCCTTCTGGCTGGCAGTGGCGGCTGAGAGGTTGTGGTACCCGGTACGGTACCAATGCGGTACCCGGTGCAAGAGCGGATAAAACGGGACTGGTTCCTGAAGCGCCGTCCCCGGGACTAAGAAGTGCACGTGCTCACAGGTCCACCCGTGACCTCACCGACACGCGAGGACTTCATTGGAGAGACTTTGGGCATTTACAGAACACACGTGGAGGTTAAGGGCCTCCGGACTTCCTCAGACAGAGTTTCTCCTAACAGAAGGCGGAGAGCAACTCTGTTCTTCCAGCTCCCTGCCTTCCTGTTTTTCTGTAGCTGAGAATTGAACGAGAACTGGAAATGAAATAAAATGTTACCCTCACTGGCCAAACGGTAGTCCCGGGGAGTGAACCCTGCCAGGGTTCCTCTGTTAACTGAGCAATGGCAGGGTGAAAGCCGGCTCAGGCAGGGTGAAAGCCGGCTCAGGCAGGGCTCACTTTCTTGGTACCTTGGAGCAATGGCTGCCTACTGTTTCCCTATCAAGGGCAATACTCTACTTGTGTTGATATCTCTCCTTCCCAGGAGACCAGAGATGATACAAATCCCGAGTTATTTCAGCTCTGGAAGGTAGCTATTTTAATACCCTATCATTACCAGAGGCACTTTTGGCAACCATGGGCACTGACTTAAACAGAAGCAGAAACAGACTGTGCCAATGTGGTGCCCACCGGAAAAGTCTTTTGATAATAGACTTTCGGTAGATCTCTTTCTTGCTTTTAACATTCGACTGCACAGCAGGACTCGTGTTTAAAGGTTCAAGAAAAGTCGTTGCTTTGAATCTGAAGTCTAGTAGCTAACAAAAAGGTCTCCCTCTGAGACTCTTTTTCATAGATGTAAGAAGACAGATCTAGCTTTGCTCCCCATGGTTGCCAAAGACTGCCCAAAGCCTCCTTCACGACTGTCTCACGTCTGAGAAACAATTGTGACTCTGAACAACCTTTTAAGACCTATTCTTGAATATGTCAGTTAGAGCAAACATAAAAACCCACTTTCCAATCCAAGTCTGACGAAGCCAGCCAAAGTTCCGCGGGAGACTACAAACAACACCGCATCGACTCAGTCTCTAGAAGCTTCCCCGGCATGGCTGATGAAAGCTAGTTGGTTATGTACACAAGTCCCCCTCGCTCATTCCTCAGGTACGACGAGAACACGGACGCTACCGTCACAAAACGAAACCACGCTTCGACGACTTTCCTCACGCGGTACAAAACTAATTTCCTATTTTCCAATACTGTAAAAATAGACGCGTCTTCTCCGAAGGACCTCGCTGTGCCGGCTGGTGGGGCTGCGCTCACGGTATCACCGGTCCGCTCAGCCCCGGCTTACAGGAAGTTGCACAGGGCGTGGAACAGAAGCGGGATGACGACGAAACTCGGGACCCTGTACAAGTGGGAGGAGCCGAAAGCGACCACGCCCACGGCCAGGGGGAGCGGAAACTGTGACGCCGTCTTCAGTAATTTACTGGGAAGAGACGGAGAAACGCATAGTTAGACAAGCTACATGCGAGTGGAACAGAACTATGTTCCTCTTTTATACAGCCCTGGAAACTTAACCTTGTGACTTTTGTTTATATTATTTACATTCTGTTTATTTATTTCTGGTTTCTGATTATCCTCTTTTCCTTAGGTTTTTTTTTTTCTTTTCTTTTTGAGACAGGTTCTGACTACTTAGACTTAGCTGGCCTGGAACTTGCTCTGTAAACCACGCTGGCCTCAGCTCAGACTCACAAAGACCTGCCTGTCCCTGCCTCCCGCCTGTCCCTGCCTCCCAAGCGCTGGGATTTAAGTTGTGCGCCACTTGTACCATCTGAGTTTTGGTTTTCTGAGACAAGGCTTTGTGACGTATGCTATAACCCAAGCTGGCTTTGAACCCACAATCCTCCTGGCCTTCTGAACGCAGGGATGGCAGGGGCATGCCAAACCATCTGGCTTCTAGGTGATTTTTAACTGATGGGATTGTTTTTAATGAACTGAAAGAAAACCGTCCATAATTTTATAAAGCTCCATAAAAAAAAACCATCTTTTAAACAGAAAAAGGAAACACACTTCTATCCAGAGAGTGGATATATTCTTGTTCGTTCCTTAACAGAAAAATACCAGTTGGTATTTCATTCCACAGATCTATCCTAAAAACACAGCCTAACAAAATAATGTTCTGGAAGACACAGCTACCAAATGCTTAATTTAATCCTACTTACAGCTGCAAAATTAAATGAAAAGAGAGAAACAAAACAAAATATAGCACAACAGACTACGTACATATCTTTTTCCCAAGAAAGGAAACATATAAACCGAAGCATTAACTATTTAAAGAGAAACTAGTTCCAGGGGGAAACCCCTTGAATTTTACACTGAAAATGGAGAAACTGAGGTTAGAGAGGTAAATCTACGGACACGAACAAGTCAAGATTTGCTCTTGCTTATGCGGTGTATTTGAACTTGAACTTGAACACCCCTCCTTACGACAGACATGGGCCTATGTAGCCCAGGCTGGCCACCAATTCTAAATGGCTGAGGATAGCCCTGGCCGCAGAGCCTCCTGTTTCCCCTCCCACGCGCTCAGACCCAGGCAGGCAACAGCACTTCTCCCACACTGGGATTTAAATCCTCCAGGGCCTGATCCCAGAAAGCTGCAAGCACCTCCCAGAGCAAAGGCTCCGAGAAGACCAAGAGTTGTTATGAGCACCTCAAACACATCCGCATAAAAGGCCCAAGTGCACAAAGCCCTCACCCCTGTTACCCTGGCGACTCAAGTGGTCATCAGTTCAGTCATAGGTTCATCTACGTATATTACTGCTCTACTTTTGGGAAGTCAAATCTCAGATATCGTACCACTTAAGAGTTAAGTTTTAAAAGAAAATAACCGACCCATTTCCTAACAAAACTCCTACAATTAAGAAACCAAGCAGAATATATTTACATATGAACTACACTTGCATATAAACCACTGTCACCCATGGCTTCACTTTTAGAACAGTCGAGTTAAATACAAATAAAGAGGGTGCTTCGAGGATTGGAATGATAAAGGCCCGCAGGAGATGAAGACGGAACTTAAACCACTGTACCTTGACTTTACCGAAACTGTGTGAGTGTTTCCAAGAATTGCTATAGCCGGAATAAGGAGAAACGCCAGGGGTTTGCATGGGTCGGGATTAAGTTTCAAATAATACCTAGAATAAGAAGAAAATAGATCAATAAGGTAGGACTGATATTTGTAAAGGATCAGAAACAAATTAACTAATTTTCAAAACGTTCAGAGACAATATAGTCACGGGCACTCTAGACGGCTTGTGAAGCCACTGGCAGCCATTCCTGCTCTCGGCCGCCCTCCCGCTTAGGATTCTACAGTGGGCGTAAGCTCAGACGCCACCGAGGAGATAAAACACCAGCATGGAAAGGCCCTGTGGTTCTTCAAATCAAACTACTTACAACACACTAAGACAGCCCTGTGTCAAACAGGTAAAATGGAAGCTAAAATAAAGGAGCTTCTCATTAGTTTTAAGATTCATAATTCCATCACTGCAGTTACCAGCAGCAAGAATCCCACAGCCTTTGAGGATCTGGCTTGTTCCTCGATTCTGACTAAATTTGAACAAAATGCTGGACCTTGACTAAAATACACACAACAGAAGGATATCAACATCTGATAAACCTTTGATTTCATTTCCGGAAGTGACTTTGCTTCTGGAATTTCTAACAGAATAGACCAGACAGACCACAGGTGAGCCAGGCAGCCTCGAACAATAGAAGGGCAATCCTAACCACAGAAGAAAGTCAGTTCTTAGGAGCTTCGGGTGGCCGCCGTGGTGGGGGATTCATTACGACAGCATCTCCTGAACATCATCACGACAACCCACAACCGTAGCAGGACACGGCTTTGCTCTCTGCATCTCAGAGGGCTAAGGCCAGGGATAGTGCCTGGTTCAAGACTGAGACGCTGAGGACCTGAAAGCAAGGATCTGATGTGGGATTCCCCTCTGTATGTTGTGAATACCATCGGTTAATAAAGAAACTGTCTTGGGCCTGTGCAGGGAATAGAGGTAGGAAGGCGGGTGTGTGTGTGTGTGTGTGTGGGGGGGGTAGACAGGGGACTAAACTGAATGCTGGGAAGAAGAAGGTGGAGTCAGGAGAAGCCATGTAGCCCCGCTAGAGACAGAAGCCGGAACTTTAGCCGGTAAGCCACAGCCATGTGGCTATACACAGATTAATAGAAATGGGTTAAATTCATATATAAGAGTTAGCCAGTAAGAAGCTACAGCAGTGTTTTAAATAATAAAGTTTCTGTGTGATTATTTTGGTTCTGGGCGGCTGGGACAAACAAGCAGCCTCCTCTAACAAGGAATGGATCCAAGTCAGGAAGTGTGGGGAAACAGCCACAGATCTGGGTCGGGATCATCGCAAGGGGTAGCCACGGAGAGAGTGGGAAGGGTCGGATAAAAACGGAGCAGTGTTTTTTGACTCCGAATCTTGCTATGCAGCTCAGATGGAGCTGGAACTTGCTTTGTGCCTCAGGCTGACCTTGAACTTTGAACCCACCACTTGAGAGTTTCTAGTGCTAGGATTACAGGGGTGTGTGTGTGTGTGTGTGTGTGTGTGTGTGTGTGTGTGTGCACCACGACATATAGTTTGAACTGCCATAAGATTACTACATCCAGCTTGCTGGTTAGCTTTTGTCAGATTGACACAGACTAGAGTCATGTGGAAAGAGCGAACCTCAGCTGAGGGCTGCCTCCACCAGGTTGGGGGAATATAGGGGATGTTTTTCTTCTTTACATTAATGATTGGTATAGGAGGGTGCAGCCCACGGTGAGCGGTGCAGATGGTCCTAGGTTATATAGGAAGGCAAGCTGAGTAAGCCATGGAAAGCAAGCCAGACATCAGTATTCCTCCAAGGGTTCTCTGCACCAGTTCCCAACTCCCGGTTCTGCCCATGTATGACGGACTATCACCTGTAAGCCAAATAAACCCTTCCTTCCTCAGGTGGCTTTGGTCAGAACAGAAGGCGAGCCAGGACGCCCAGCGGAGTCACGGCGAGCAGAAGTACTTCTCACCACGCTATATGATAAGGCAGAATCAGTGAAAGTAGCGCAGGGTTATGAAAAAGAGCAGTGTAGAGACGACCCTTAAAGAGATACCCATGAGGGAGGAGGAAAGACCCATCCAAGAATGAGAACTTGGGGAAGAATCTCAGTGAAAAACCAACAACTACATGAGACTTCGGAACAAACCAAACATAAGTAACTCAGCAGGTGAGCAATCTCCCTATGGTGCCGGAGAAATCAGAGCACACTTTGCGATAATCCCACTAGACAGAAATGCTCTTAGCCTTCCAGTTAGGATATATGGGCGCCGACCTGTGTGCCCCCTGAAAGATGCTCCTCTCACTGACAAGGACACGTCAGGACTGTGAAAGGAGGAAGGCGATCACTCCAACCCGAGATGAGTAAAAGTAGCTACGCTTGCAGCTGACGAAGCAAACTTCAGGCAAAGCTCAGTCGGAAAAGATAAAAAGGGTAACGAGACATTAGTGAAGGAAACAGCCATCAGGAATATGTAACAGGGGCTGGAGACATGGCTCAGCATTTAAGAGCATGGTTGCTCTTAAAGAGAACCATAGTTGGTTCCCAGCACCCATGTCAGATGGGTCATCATCACCTGAAACTCCAGCCCCAGAGGAGCCTGTGCCTCTGTGCCCTCACATGGACATAGTCACACACAGATACACATTCACATAAAATCAAAATAAAATAAATACCCCCTGAAAGAAGATCTAACAATCAAAAATATGTGTTGAATGTTGAAATCAGTGAACTACATAAAACAGATGCCCCTGAACACAAAAGAAGAGATGAATCCAGATGCTGTAACAGTGGATGTCCATCACACACCCTGACCTCAAATTCCAGATTTAACTACTTCAAATATCAAACGTACTTAACAGACACCAACAGCATAGTCTACCCACCAGCTGGGAAATGTACGTTCTTGGCAGCCCACAGAACTTTCTCCAAAACAGATCACATGTTAGGGCTTAAAACAAGTCTTCATTTTAAGACACTAAAATAATTTTTTGTTCCTTGCCAAATCATAACAGAACAAGACTAGAAATCCACAACAAAAGACACCACAGAAATCATACAAGCACATGGAACTTAAACAAAACGATTCTGTATGATCAGTGGGGTTGATTTCTTTAATCAAGGGGAATTAAAAGTCGTGGAATTACATGAAAATGAAAACATCGCTTATCAGAAGTTTTGGAATAATGCAAAGGGAGTTCGAATAGGAATGTTATAGCTATAAAGACCTACGTTTAAAAAACAGACCTCAAACAACCTAATGGTGCACACAGAGGTCTTTGCAAAAGGGAACAAACTAAACTCTAAGTTAGACGATGGAAGTAAGCGTTAGAACTAATGAGACAGAGACAGGAACAATAAAGGGGAGCGGGGAAATAAAGAGTAGGTTCCCTGCAATGTTAAGCAATACTGACAAACCCCGAGACAAACTAACCAAAAGATAAAGGAGAGAAGACACAAGTGAATAAAATTAAAAACAAAAAGAACAAAATAGCACTGAAATCTAGACGGTCATTATGGAACATTTTGAAAACTTGTATTTCAATAAACTGAAAAGCTAGAAGAAAGTTCTAGACAGGTACGACCTACATAAAATCGATCCATGCGTCTACAAACAATGTAAACAGATCTGCGTAACAAGAACTGAGAATACGTCGATAGTCTCCCAACACAGAAAAGTCCAGAAATAGATGGGTTCTATCAGCATTTTAAAATACACCCACCAGTTTTCGTCAATCAATCCGTAAAAGAGGAAGAACACTGTCAAACAGTCTACAAAACAGGATTGATCTGATCCTGAGGAGCCAACAAAAAAGAAACTGTAGACCCAGCTCTCGGAAGAAACAACAGACATCCTTGATAAAATACTTGTAAGCTGAGCCCAACAGCACAGTCAGAAGATGCAATCAAGCTGGCTTCATCCCGGGGTGAAAAGATGCAGAGACACACAAATAAAGCAACACAATATGGTACATGGGTAAGATCAAGGACAAAACCCATGTGATCGTCTCGTTAGATGGGAAAAAAATCTTTGAGAAAACTCAGTGTCCATTCATGAAAAAAGCCCTAAAGAATCCAAGGCTAGAAAGATAAACAAGTCAGCAAAGTAAAGGGCAGACATAACCAATCAACAGCGAACTTTACACCAAGTGAGAGAAAAGCTGCCAGGGCTTCTTCTGAAACCAGGACAAAGGCGTCTATTCTGCTGTTCTTATTCGATATAACGCTCAAAGTTTCAGTCAGACCAATGACGCAAGAAGACGAAATAAAAGGGATAAAAATGGAGGAGTCAGTTATCCCTATTAGTAGGAAATATAATCTTATACTTAAAAGTTCCTGAAAATTCCAGTAGAAAACTCTTAGAGATATGATAAACACTTTCAGCAAAGTAACAGACATGGAGACCAACAACTGTTTCTATGTCTGTAGTGAACATGCTGAGAGTGACGTCATAGACACAAAACCAACGTCTATTTCTGTGTCTGTAGTGAACACGCTGAGAGTGACATCATAGACACAAAACTAACGTCTATTTCTGCATCAGTAGTGAGCACGCTGAGAGTGATGTCAGAAAAACAGAACCACGAACAAACAGCCTTTAAAAAGTCAACAAAATACCTAGGAATTAACCAAGGAGGCTAAAAAAATCTCCACAATGAAACCTATAAACAACCAAAGACAGAAACCAAGGGAACCCGAGAGGATTGAAACACCTCCTACGGATCAGCAGGAAGAATACTGTAAAAATGGTTCTTTATACAAAGCAGCCTACGGACTCAAGCTGATTCTGGTAAAATGCCAATGGACGCCACAGAGCCTTCTTGTGCTTTCGTATCTGTTTCTTAAATTTCACACACTAGAGAAAACATACTCCTTTTTCTGAGTCTAGTTTACTTCACTTAAGACGATACCCTCCAATTCCATCCATTTTCTTGCAGACAACACAGTTTCGGTCTTTATGGCTGAATAGTGCTCCACTGTGTGTGCAGACATGTTACATTGTCTTTATTCATTTACGTTAATTACCACCTAAGCTCGTTCATAACTTAGTAGCCGTTGGTTCATAACTGCTGAACCGAGCAACTGCAGACAGCCCTGCTGTGCATAGATCCTTTCGCTCAGGATCGCATTGGCTATTTGGAATCCATCGTACTTCCAAACAAATTTTACCACTGCCTCATTTAGCCTCCTTGGTTAGGTTTATTCCTAGGTATTTTACCGAGCTTTTTTTTTTTTAGACCGTTTGTACACAGTCCTGTTGGAAAGAGGAGGGGACCAATGGAAAAGAGAAGCTGGGACAAGAGAAGGTGACCTCCACCGAGTAAGAGGCATGTCTGAAAATGTCACAACCAAACTCATTATCTTGTATACCACACATAATAAAAACAGTTTCTAAATTAAAAAAAAAAAAACCAAAACTTTTGTTGGTAAAAAAAAAATGCAAATCGCTTCCTTCGGCTGATTTTTAGAGACCATTATAATCAGGACTTCAGAAAGGCTCTATGGAGAGAGCACTAGTGTCTAACCACACAAGCGATACTTCCATAAATAATGCACCTAAGGTTCTTTAACCAGTAGATCAGCGACGGCAGGCTGAGCAGTACCACCCAGGTCAGCAGGTTAATCACGGTGCCGTGCATGCGCAGACTGTCCTCGGCGTCCTGAGCAGACAGGCGGAGACTCTGCACCGACGAGTCTTTGTGGTGGTTGGACTTTTTCTCACTTCTTCTCGAGTGCTTGGGATTCTAGGAAGCAATCCCATGAGAATGTCAAGCCAGGGATAAACAAAAAAATAAGTTCAAGATATCACTTAGAATCAATGACAGTCAACTGCTTGACTCAATCATCTTTTATTACCAACCATAAATAAAATACTGAAGTTAGTTTGTGTGAAGTACTTTAAAATTGTTATTGCCACTAAAGTTTATTCTTTTTGGTTTTATTTGAGATGAGATCTTGCTATGTTGCCCTGGCTGATCTCAAACTCGGAGGTTCAAGCTATCTCCCTTGCTTCAGCTTCCTGGGTGCATATGTAACCATGTCCAGCTACATTTCTGACTAATCTTTTTATTGCTAGTAATAACACAAAATGTACTTTTTAACAGCAAAGCGGTGAAGGTAGCCCAGGAGCAAGTTAAGTAGAACAGTTCAAGTCTACTTTACTATTCCTTGACTTTACTTAAAGTTACTTACGATCACAATTCTTTTTAAACACTGTGAAATCCTAACCCCCGCCCCCGCGACTTCAAAACACAACAATAAAAATCCCAGACACCTATTTTTCATGAACTTTCATATCAGTGCTTAGGAGACAAAGCTCACCACTGGCTGGCTGCTCCTAAACGCCGTGAGGCTGGCTTGCAGATGGACAACCTTAGGAAGAGAAGATGACTTTAACTTTACATGTATTTGGAACAATAGATTTTTTTTTATAAGAAAGCATGAAAACTAAGAAGCATTATAATATGAAATTTTAAAAAATATAAAAACGGAGCTGGAGAGATGGCCCAGTGGTTAAGAGCACTAACTACTCTTGCATAGGACCTGGGATTCCTTTCCAGTCCCCACAGGCCTCGAGCCACCAGCATTCCATGTCTGGAGTTCTGATGCCCTCTTTTGGCCTTAATGAGCACTGCACATACAGGGCAAACAAAACACTCATACGCGTAAAATAAAAATAAGCAATAATGAACACATAAAAAAATATAAGCAACCAGGCCTCATTTGAGCCTTTGAAAACAGTAGTCTAAGAAAGCTAACTCATAACAGATGCTAACTTAAGGACTTAAAAAGAAAAACGCAAAATAGAAACAATACAAACTTCCAGAATAGGCAGAGACATTTTAAATCCTGTGAACTTATGTTTCAATAAGGGCTTGCCTATAGCAATCTTACAGGCCTCATAGATAAAAAGTTTAATTATAGTCAATATTATATGAAAATGTTCAATTATATGTAGTGGTAAAATACCTATAGGACTTTGAGAAAATTTTATAATTTATTGTTTCCCTTGAGTTAAGTATCTGAGGGCCTTTTGTCTAGTGAGTTGGTTTTTTAAAAATATCTAGTCAAGTTGGATGGCGATACAGTCGGTGACCCATATTGCAGCACCGGACGGAACCCTCCATGGTCCAAATGAGGAGCAGAAGGATGAAGAAAATGAAAAAAGAAATCAGGACTGCGATGGACGCTATCACCCACTGATATAAGGGGACTGATCTAATGAGAGTTCACCAAGGCCAGTTGGACTGGAACTGAACGAGCACGTGATCCAACCAGATTCTCTGAATGTGGCCGGATTCTCTGAATGTGGCTGGCCCAGAGTCTTTCTGAGAAGCCATTGACAATGACACTGGGACTAGTTTCCTCTGCATATACTGGATTTTTGGGATCCAGTCTGTTTGGATACTCACCTTCCTGGACCTGGAGGGAGGGGGGAGGAACTTGAACTTCCCACAGGGCAGGAAACCCTGACTGCTCTTAGGGACGAAGAGGGAGGAGGAGAGGGAGTGGAGGGAGTAGGAGGGTGTTGGGAGGAGGGGCAGAAATGGAAACTTTTATAATTTAATAAACTTTAAAAAAAAAGAAAAAAATATCTAGTCAAAGAAACGGAACCTAACCATATCATTTATAAACGGAAGTAGCTTAGACACGTCCAGATTTACAAAAGTGCTCTTTAAAAAACTGAAAATAACCTACAGTGTGTGTGTCTTAGTTTAAAAAGGGGCAGACAGAGCCTTGATAAAGAGGAAAAACAATGTCCAGGGTGCTGTGACCGCCCACCCACATAATCAACACAGTGTGCTGTGACCGCCCACCCACGTGATCAACACAGTGTGCTGTGACCGTCCACCCACGTGATCAACACAGTGTACTGCGACCGTCTACCCACGTGATCAATACAGTGTGCTGTGACCGTCCACCCACGTGATCAATA